GTAATTTCTCCGGGCACCCCGGCAAAGGAGAACAAATCGCTGACAAAGGCGAGCTCTTTCGATTCAGCAGCGTCGTTAAGGCAACCCCAAAGTATTCCTCCTATAATAAGTTCCACTTCAAAGGGTTTCTCATTCAGCGGTGACTGCTTCGCACTTTTATTAAGTCCGGGCTTTTTCACTAGGAGGAATCATCTGTTTGGTTATTTTTCATCGTGTTTATTTTTCACCATTCACACAGTACTTGTATTAAATAAACAAAGAACAATCGCTTTCCAAATAAAAGTACTTAGGTGGAAAGAGACGGAAGAGGAACTGGGGCTCTGGCGCTCCTGCCCCTCTCCCCGCCCTTTCCAACATCACCCACCCCCACCCCCACGAGGCTTTCTCTCCTCCTCTGCTCATTCTTTCTATTTTCTCTCAAGCTAGGAGGTTCACATATTGTATGTCAGACATGTTATATTATATGTGTAATATTATATGTAAAATATATATTTCTGATGAGGTGAAAATTGACTGAGCTAACTTGGCATGAAAGTAAAGGTCACTGCAACTGTATCTTAATAGAGTGTCTCGAATCGCTGTGGACCCTCTGCCAGCGACTCCCCTGGCCCTGTCCATTGCCATAGCAATCCTGATGCTCTGTGTGGATGTACCATAAAAGCAGTAGTTTGAATTTCAAAGAACATGCCTTTGAACTTCTCCCTGCCTGATTAGGCACTCGCTTGGTGCATGAATGTGTGTGCTTTTGAGTGTTTGTGCGTGGGCGTGTGTATAAGTTTCTGTGAGTTTTTGTTCAAGGAGGGGAAGGAAGTGTGCTGGAACCCCAGGGCTGAGGATTTCACTGTGGGTCTCCTTAGCCATCCCTCCAGCCCTGGAAGAGTGGGTTTCGGTGGCCATGTGTCTATTTTGGTAGAGCAGGGGTGGATGGGCAAGCCAGTAGTGTGATGTGACAAGCTGGAAGTATTAGTAAGCGTCAGGATTGTTGTTTCTCTTGTGTTCAGCTCCCCTTTCCTCTGACTTAAGGTGGTCACTAGAGAAGCCAGACTGGCTCCCCCTCCCCCTTTCCCAAATTGTATTTCCTAACCAAACTGGGATAAAAAAATACTTCAGGCAAACATCTCTTGTGCCATTTTATAGAGAAAAAGATAATAGTCGTTACACAGATGGGGGAGGGGGAGAAAAGAGAGAAATAAAATCACTATTTCAAAAATCATCCACAAAATGCAAGATATAAATGACAAGACTGAAAGTGATACAAATATATAACATCTATCATAGTTGGGCCTAGCTTTCAAGAAGTTTGCACCTCCTCTTTTCTGGTCCCCAATGTTATCCCTCTTGTGTGGTCATATTATTTTCACTCCAAGCTCTTTCTCAGTACTTTAGATCATAGTAGCATTAGCTTTACCAAAGAACATCCTGAATGGGGAAAATATATATATAAACTACAAATAATGTTTGAAGATTCTTTTAGCCTGGAAAACAAAGGTAGATGATTTAAACAGTGTTTGTAAGGGCCACGTTTAGCTGAGGAAAGATGAAGTCTTTGATGATAGCCAACTTAGTGTCAATAAGTGGCTTTCTTTGAGACATATTCAGATGGGAACGTCTTGCTTGCCAATTGCCATAGAAATCTTAACACACCATGAAGATTGTCCAAGCGCCAAGCCTTCCGTTCTGGACTAAATTACTTTGAAGTGGCGCAGGACGAGCAGTGGTCAATTTTAACTCTATAGACTGGACAGAGAACGCTGGGAGTGGGAGATTGTGCGTTTTAAAGCAGAAAATAAGAAGGAGAAACTTGTTTTATACACTCTATACAAGGTTCTGCTCATTGTCAGATCTTTTATCTTTTATATTTCCCATGAATGATTCATGTCTTGGTGGCTTTGTGTCACCCTTCTTTTCACAAGAAACTTCATTAGAGAGCTATAAGTTTTCCCATTGATTGGGGCCCTCATTTATGGATTTTTCTCTTTCGTGTGCTGGTTATTGTTATCTGGCTTAAAACAACTCTTTGCAACCTGTTTCACCTTTCCTACATGTAATAAATCTGACTTTTCAAGACCACTATAACCTTTTGGAGAACTGCTTATTGACATTATTACCAATTGTTTTTAACGATTTGTCTTTTATTAGTTTTGTATCAGATAACATTAACAGGCAAACATTCGGCCATGTTTATGTAGATAGCGAATTACATTCGTTTAAGCCACTTGAATATTTTACCATAAATGTAATTTCTCCTTAACTGCCTCAAAATGCTGTTACTTAGATGCACTCAACTTGCAAATAAAAGGCAATAAAATTGGATTCTGACAATCCCCAATTACCTGATGTAAGAGATATTTGATGCCCACTAGTCAACTTCATTCAAGATGTTTAACTCAATATTCATCTCAGCTCCTGATTTTGCTTGTGAATCTGGTAGCCTCTGTCCTTACCTCATCTTTTCCTCATTCCTTTTTACATTTACTTTAGAGGCTAGGCACCAAAAGAAATGTTAAAATTCTCTTTTCACCTATTAGGATCACTAAGGATATTAATTTTAACAAAGCAATGCAGTAAACCCTAAGATTTATGCTAGTGGTACATGCAAACTGCAGGGTTTAGTCTTCATGAATATATTGTATTTTCTAGACTAGATTGTAAATTAAACCAAGCTGTAAAAATATTTTATTGCTTGGGGAGAGGCTAAGAAATAAAGAGGTCAAGGAAAGAGAACCTACTGTTCATTATGTCAGCAACCTGTTCTGTTTGGAAGAGAATGGCAGAAATATCCCATTATGTAAAACATAAACGTAGGAAGAATACCTTTATTAAATTTTTTACTCCATAATCATTCTTGCTCTCTATCGAAGGTACACATTTTAAGTTTGTTTTGTTTTTTTAAATTTTAGGTGTATCGGGAACCAATAAATCTGGCAGAGTTAACCTATGCATGGCAAAATACATAAAATACATATTCCTTTGTTTCATAATAAATAAACCTGTAGCATAATAAAGAATAGTGCAAACTACCATTGAAAAAGTTGTATAAATAAAACAACTCATTACAAATCAGGAATATTTTGTTCTAATAAGTTTACAATACATAAATTATCCCCCCAAAAGTTCATACCTTTTTTGTCTATTTGAAAGAGCTTTGAAAGTGAATGAGTCAAATAAACTTTAAATGTAGAATTATTTTATATTCAAGTTTTATGGTCTTTTTCTTTATAAAGGAGGGTCTGCATGTTTCATATTCACCGTAACAATTTGAAGACAACATTGAAAGGCTTTCAAAGTGACAGCACCATGCACTGTACTAGTAATATAATATATCTATAAACTATATATAATCTCAACACAATGCAAAAAAGACATGCAGGAAGAGTCCTGGTTTTCACATTACGTTGTTCATTCAAGTAAGTTTAAAAATATATTTTCCCATTTTCTCTCCTTTTTCTTTTTTTTAAATAAATCATGGATCATAAACAACAATCTTTCACCAAAATGTATAATATAATTCTTTGGTGTGCTTTGAACTCTTCCAGGAAAGAAAAAAAGATGTCTGAAAATAAATTAATTCAGCTGTACAAATAGTGTTCACATACAGGTTATTAATAATGATAAGACTACATCAACCACTCACAGTACACAAAACAAGTTTCTACAAACCCTGGGGAGGGGGTGTCTTCAGGGTCTCTGAGGAATAAATTAGTGCTCTTTAGTATATTTGTATGATGTTTATGATGGACTACATTTTGCACACAAGATGTGCTGTACCAACCGAAAATAAATTGACTAAGGGTTATTGTCCTAGGTCCTTGACCTTTCTTATCCTAGCTTGACAGCTCTGGCAAAGGTCACACATTCATCAATGTTTGGTGGTAACTATAAACCTTTTAAAAATTTTAATATGTATAGCAACTCCCTCCCCTCTTTTCATGTAAATCATACACTTCACACACTGTCATTTTCAAATGGGATAGAGTTCCATGTACTCAGTGCTCAGGTGGAAGAAAATGCATTAAAATGCACTTTTAGGCATCGAAAAATAAAGGCTTTTCAAAAGGTTGATATAAGAGTATAAAAGAGGGGTTGGCCTATTTTAAAAACAACAGCTTTCAAAAAAATAGGCACCTTGTCAACATCACACCTCCTTAGACTTGCCTGTTAATTTTGGCATCCCAAAAAACTTATGATCTAAAACATAATTTCTTTATTACACAAGATGTTTGGACATAGTAAAGAGGCAGCATCTGAGAGTTCAGATTTTTAAAAAATCAGGGGAAAAAAAAGCACTTGAATTTCTTCTATTTTATAAAATATCACAGTTTCACAGTTGTCGATTGCAGCAGCTTTTTCTTATCTCCACCTTTGCTTGAACAATCACAGTAGCACAATATATGGAGATGTGTTAAGGTTGCCGCATCTTTTTTTTAATCATACAAGCAGGGTACTGAATAATCCTGTATAAAAATACAGTATTTAGGTGTAATCCGTAATAAAAGAGTGAAAATGGAAAATGACAAGTAGTAAAACTTAAAAGGTTTTTACAAATATTTTGGACACAGGTACAGTCCAAGATCTGCTGGCAATGCAGCAAGTGTGTGGTTTACAATCAAGAGGCCTTTGCAGAATTAGGGCCCAAGGAGGAGGCTATGAGGATCCAAAGAAGCCCACGTTATGGTGTCAAAGGCATGTGCAAGGCACTCTAGGGAATGGCAGAGGGCCTTGTTGCTGTGTTGAGTTCTGACTTAATGTTCTTTCTCTCCTTCAAAAAAAAAATATATATATATACACACACACACATATGTGTGTGTGTGTGTATATATATATACACACATATACATATATATTGCATTGGCAGTGTGTATCTCAATTAACTAATCTCTCTATTCATTTTTCTTAGTACAATTTGCTCCCAGCCCTGCCCCCCTGCAACATGTAAAGCCCAGCTTGGTTTTTGTTGTTGTTTGTTTTCTAGGAAAAAAAAAAAAAAAGCCCAGATATCTTAATTAAATTAATTAAATGTACAAACACCATAGGGTTTCATACTAAATAAATAGGGCTAATTAGACCTGGTGGCAAGTCTGAGTCATAGATATTCTCAGGCTCGGCATTGTCTCAGGTTAGGATATGGTCCAAGGACTCCCACTTATTATTTTACTTATTATTAATAAATTCTAATGTATCGTCCGCACAACTTCAGAGTTCCCATACATCTCCTCATCTTCAGACTCAGAAGTGGTTCCATTGCTGGAAGGTGTGTGGAGGTGGCTGGGGGCCCCACTGGCCTGGCAAACGTACCACTCATTGAGGTTGGTCACCTGAGGGGATAGAGTACCAGAGCGACTCTTGGTTGGATCCAGCACAGGGGACAAGGGGGCACCTACTGGAGTCCCCACTGATGAATAACCGAGGGCTCCTGGAGAAGGAGGTGGGGACTTGCAATGAATCTTCATGTGTTTCCTCAGAGAGCTCGGGTGAGTGTAAGATTTGTCACAGCCTCGAATCTTGCAGTAGTAGGGCTTGTCGCTGGTGTGGACATGGGAATGTTTCTTTCTATCACTGCTGTTGGCAAACTTCCTGTCACAGCCATCAAATTCACATTTGAAAGGCTTTTCCCCTGCAACAAAACATAGGAAAAGTTAATTGCTTTTCAGAGACCTCTCGTTCAAGAGAAATCTTGGAGCAGAAATGAGGATACATTTTCCCATTCTCTAGAAGACTAACTCCTAGCCTAATACTTATGTTCCAGGATGCAACAGGGAAGAAATACTTCAGTGATGGGTCTGGTGACCACTGTCCTAGAGACTCTCCTTGGACTGAGCTTGTAAAAGGCTAGATATCAACCCTGTAGTACCATAAGAGTTAGGGGGAGAATGGCTAGAGCATGGTCCAGGATGTAACACCAACACCCAACTAGGACCTGAATACCCACATCATCACTCCCCCCAGGCTCTATACATACAAAACTACAAGCAGCCCCCTGTTCTGTCAAGATAAACGCTAATAAAATAATACTTTTAATATAAGAAAAATGAACTCATATACTAAATTAAAAGTAACTGGGAGTGGTGCCATTATTATAATGGCATTTTGTTTCAGTTTCCCAAGATTTGACTTATGGGAAAGGAAAGGAAATAAAGGCACCTGTGAAACACACTATCCAACCACTAGATTTTTTACAAGCCTAGCATAGAAATGGCCATTGCCCTCTTCCTTCTACCAGCTTTCCTCACAACTTGCAAGGCAATTAAGAGCCTAGTGTAATAAACCCTTAACAAACATTAATAAAGAACACAAGCCTCAGCCCAAACCTGGCATTTACCTGATGCCATAAGTAAACATTCTAACAGCTTTTTACATTGCTTAATAGTTTTAAAAAAAAAAAAAAAAAGATGGACTATTTACCAGTCTTTTTGGCCCATTGCCCCTTTAAAATGCTCTGTCCACCCCAGGAACACAATACCTTTAAACACAAGGCCACTAATTATGAAAGTGGAAATGCTTAAAACAAGAAATTCAGCCACATCACACGTTGGTATTTAAAAGCAAAAAAAGGAGGTAACAGTATGACTTTTCCCTCACCTTCTTGTATATGAACGATGTATCTGAATCCATAATTGAACATCTCATACACATTATCATATTAATATTTTCCTCATATTTAAATGATTTAAGCAAAATTGGGTTTCTCCACATTTCAGCAGCTACTTTGATAGACACACAAGGTATGCCCTTTTCTTGGATTTAAGTAATTTATTTTTCTTTTTAAAAGCAACTAAGATAGTTTAGTGTGTGTAAATTATTGTGGTGTTTATTATCTTAATGCAAATATTTCAGCGTAGTTTTTATTGTTGTAAATTTCACCAATGATAACTACTTCAATGCCAGAGTATGTTTGCACAGCTGAAAGTATTCAGATGCCTGGAATATAACTTATTCTACTTGGAAATACCATTTAAAAATGAAATTAGATATTCAAACATGCCTCCTACAGTGATCTAAAAAGAGAGGAAAATAACGTAACACAAAGATAACCACAACCTTTAAAAACTTTCTGTAGATGAGCTGCAACAAAAAATTAATCAGTTTTTATTTAAAAAATTGGTTATTTGCTGATTTCTGTATTCTACTTTAAGTTGGAGATAATATTTAATATAGCATTCTTCAAAAAAAATTATCAGCCTTTCTTCAATATGCAACTTAGGTGGTTTTATTCACTCTATGCAAATGTACAATGCTGTTTTTTAGAATTCTCATGTTTCTGTACAAGCTACATAACCCGGACTATGAAGAATAAAGCTTGAACATTGCTGGTTCCAGCACTGCACGTGAAAAAGAGAAGCAATTTGACCCAGTCAAGGGGAGATATGGAGTGGAAAGACAGAAAATTAAGTATAAAGAAATGGAGGAAAGACGAAGAGGGGTGGGGAAGGCGACAGAATTGCTTATTTTATTCAGGGGAACTAAGGGGGCAGTGAGCAAATTCTACCTAACTAGAAAGGGTGAGACCCCAGTGTTTACATTTCAGACTCTGACATAGGGGTCACGTCAGAATTTAACTACTTACAGAGTTTTAGAGAGTAATGGAAGCTATGTATGGGTAACTCTCAGATTCTATCAGGTCCCTCTCCAGAGAGAACTCCATTCCAGCCCAGTGGAAGGTTATAAACGGAATTGGGGGCACGTGGGTCAGGAAATAGGCCTTCGGGAGTGGTCAGGGTATTATTCCTTTTGATCAGTACGTTCTGAGATCCCGGATAACCCCCAAAAAGGAGAGTGGCATGGTAGGGAGGAAGTCCGGGATGGTCCCTCTCTGGACACAATGCTCAAAGGCTCAGCGGCCCAGACACCACCAAAACCACCCCGCTCGGGTTTGAGTATGAACGTGGGGTGCTAGCACCCCCCCCTCCGTGACTTCACGAGGCCTACGCAGTCACTGGAGCCCGGCATCAATGCAACCACGCGCACAACGTGGAACTGGAAAACAAAACGGCCATAGGTCTCGGCACACGACCCCACCCCGCCAAGCACGCGCTCACGCCCCCTCCTGGGAGGTAGGCTGCCAGTCTGGCAGGACTGAAGAACAGGAACCTAGGTTAGCTTCAGCGCCATCAATTTTCTGTTCTTGCTTTAAGGGGCGGAAAGGGCCCTCGGCTCTGGACAGCTTCCCATCCGGCGAAGGGAAGGTCCACTCACCCTCCTAGAAAAGAGCAGAGCCGAGGCCACCGGCTCTGTTTTTAGGGGTTCCCTTTGGGAACGGGTCTTCACCTCCCCGCGTGCCTTCAGGGTCCCAGGCCCCTACGCCGTCCGGAAGTACTGAGCACAGGGTCAAGCAGCTGGCTTAGCAGGCCAGAGAAAGCCTCGTGGGAAGTTTCCATTTTGAAAAATCATTAAGGCAGACGGATCCGATTAGAAAAACACCGGACAGGCAAAAGGAGCTCCGGGCACATCATCCGCAGATCCATACGAAGCCTGTCAGGTGTTAGCCCACAGGAAGGAGGCCCGGAGCTCCCGCATTGGGCCACCCTGATCTGATTCCTCCCGCAGATCCCCCGAAAGCCCTCGGCCCCCGCCGCTGGCCTGGCGTTGAAGCCAACGCCCTGCGGCTGCCTCATCGCCGCAGCACCGATAAATCAGCCAAGTAATTACTGAATGTAAACTCCAGTTACTTAAGTGTCCTCTGAGGGCTAATATTGTCTGTCCCTATAAATCCCGACTGCGCTCGCACTCATCAGCGCTTCCTGACAAAGCGCTTGTCCGTTCAAAGGAAACACGCGACCCACAGGGGCCATCCCACCGCCCCTCGCTGCAGCCAACCTCAACCAGGGCCGTGGCACACCCAAAGGCAGGGCTGGGAGGAGTCTCCCCGGCGCCGGGGGCTCCCACTAAATTCTAAAGCAGGGTAGGCTCTGCAGCTATCCCTGTACTCCAACTAGAACCTTCTTTAAAAGGGCAGAAGCCAACTTCTCCAGCATCCTTTAGGACATGTGTGATAAAATGTCTGTGACAGCGCTGTGTGACGACGCGTGTGTGTATGAAGGTGTGTAAATGACGAAGTGTGAGTGAGGGTGTACATATAAAGTGAGCGTGTCAGGGCCTACGGGTGTCCCAGCAATGAGGAAGGGGGGTATACGAAGGAATATAGGTGTGTGAAGTAGTGTGATGTGTGAGGCGTCTCCAGAGGCCCCATTCCTTTAGCATTCTGCACCCCACCCCGGAAGGAAGAGGCCCCTTCCCCTCCTGGAGGGGTCACACCGAGCTGGCCTGGTGGCCCAAATACCGCAGCAAATCCCACACGCCCCTTTCACGCGCTGGGCCTGACACTGGGTGGGAAGGAAAGAGCCTCCGGGGCGGCTCCGGCTCCAGCCCCCCTTTTCCACATCGCCCTCCCCAAGTTCGCGGGGCCAGACGAATGGGGGCTGCCGACTGTCGTGGGCGCCTTCCTGCTCCGGCTGCTGCTGCTTCTGCTCCGGGGCGGCGGCGGCGGCGGCTGGAGCGCGTTGCCGGTCCCGGCGGAGAGGCTGCGGGAGCGCTGGAGACTCCACCATGTGGGAACCCAGCGCGGGGCCTGTGTGTGCTATCGAATTACTTATTCATAGAAAAAAAGGGGGGGAGAGAAAAAAAAAGAAGTCACATGTCCGGGTTATACGTATGCGAAGAGAAGCAGCAGAAGGAGGGAAAAATTAAGGCGAGCAGGAGGAGGAGGAGGAGGAGGAGGAGGAAAGGAAGCGGCGGCGGAAGCGGCGGCGGCGCGAAAGACAGCGGCGGCGGCGCGGCCGGGGACAGACACCCACCTGTATGAGTGCGCTTGTGGATTTTGAGGTTCTCGGAGCGAGCGAAGACCTTGCCACAGCCCGGGAATGGGCAGGGAAAGGGCTTCTCGCCCGTGTGCACGCGGATGTGGTTGATGAGCTTGTATTTGGCCTTAAAGGGCTTGCCCTCGCGCGGACAGTCCTCCCAGAAGCAGATGTGGCTGCTTTGCTCGGGGCCGCCCACGTGCTCCACCGTGACGTGGTTCACTAGCTCGTGCATGGTGCCGAAAGTTTTGGAGCAGGGCTTGGCGCCGCCGGCCGGGGGCGGTGGCGGCTGCGGCGGCGGCGGCCGGGCCAGCTCCTCCGGGTCGATCCACTTGCAGATGAGCTCCTGCTTGATTGGCTGCCGCATGTAGCGCAGGAAGGCCCCAGCCGCCCCTGGAAGGTGGGGGTGGTGCTGGTGCGGGTGCTGCGCGGGCGCGGGCGGCGGTGGCGGCGCCGGGGGCGGCGCGTGGTGCTGCAGGTGGGGTCCGGGCCCAGCTGCTGCAGCAGCAGCCGCCGCCGCCGCCAGGTTCAGGTTTAAGTTCACGGCTCCGTAGCTGTGCAGGGCGGCAGCTGCAGCGGCCGCCACCGCCCCGTAGTGCGCTTCGCCCGAGCGAGGCGCGAAGGGCGGCTCGGCGCGACCGTACAACTCAGCTGCCGCGGCAGCCGCCGCTGCCGCCAACCCCAGGCGCATCTGGCCGTTGAGCGGGTGAGGGTGGCCGCCGGGGGTTCCCGGCATGTCGTGCAGCGCAGGGAAGAGCGCCGGACCCCCACTACCGCTGCCGTCCGGGCCCGCGTAGGTGCCGCTGGCAGAGATGAACATGCCGGCCGAATGGGGAGGCGGGGCCGGGTGCTGGGGGGAGCCGGTGCCAGACCGCTGCTCCCCTCCGAGCGGGGCCCCGTGCATGGCCGCCGCGGGGGCCGTGGCGGAAAGGTCCCTCCGGAGGACGAAGTCCCTGCTGTGGCCTTTGCCGCTGCTGCCGCCGCCGCCACTGTTGGTGGTGGTGTAGCCCGAGAGGGCAGGAGGAGGAGGAGGAGGGGGAGGGGAAGGGGGTGAAGGGGAGGGAGGAAGAGGAGGGGCTGGGGGCGGTGGCGCGGAGGGCAGCACGCTGCTGCTGCCCCCGCCGCCAGGATAGGTGCCGGCTCCGGGGTGTGCGACTGAGGCTGCAGCGCGGGCGGCGACTGCGGGAGCCTCAGGCTGTGCCGGGAGCGCCTGGGAGGGAGGGCTGAGGCGGAGTGCGCTCGCCTGGGCCATGTGCTCGGGTCCGAGCGGAATGATGGCCACGCCGAGGTCAGCGCCCAGGTCCCGAGGGCGGAGATGCGTGGCTATGGCGCGAAGTTGGGAGTGGGCGGGCGGGCTGGCCAGCTCTGGGAAGCCTGACATATTCTGAAGAGGCCTGGCCTGAGCCGTTGCCAAATCCGCTAATCTCAGCGCTGGCGGGTTCCTCTTGTTCAAAGGGGGCTCCATCAGAACCACACAATCAGACACATAGACCCTCACTGAGGGGACTTTTTTCCCCCTTCTGCCCGCCTCCAAAAACATGTATATATAAGGGGCTCTTTAACTTCTTTGTCCTGGCCTCCTAACTCTGCTTATTCCTGTTCCCACTCTGTCCTCCAGCGATTGGCAGAGTGAACACCACATTTCAGCTGCACAGTGGGACCGAGATTTTGGAAATGGCACGGGTGGGATTGGAGAGAGCCGCGTGATTGGCAGCAGCCGCGGCTGCCCGATTGGCTCCCTTTCAGACCCTTGGCCCAGCGGGGATCCGCCCTGCTGCTCCCGGCCGCCTTAGCTTTAGTTTCGCGCCCCCTCCTCCCCTGGAGCCCTGCATCCCCGCCTCCCCTGGGATGCCCAAGTTGCACTTGCAGAAAGTTTGAGCTGGGCCTGCGCGCGCAGCGCTCCGCGTTTCCCCGTCACTCCTTGCGGAGAGCGTGCGCCGGCACGCGGCCGAAGGGCGAGTGGTGGCTAAGGGCTGGAGCCCCCCCTCGGGGGACAAAAGGCCGGGGACCCCCAACTTCAAAAAGCTCCGCCTCACTGCACGCAGGGCTCCTTCCAACATCTACACGCTTTCTTCCTCCTTCCTTGGAAGAGCCCGAGGCTGCTCTCGGAAGAAAGGGGGTGAACAGATGTTCGCCCGTCATCGTACTTGTAGAGGTGATGCTAGAAACTTCTTGTTTGGGAAGGACACCCAATCTGCCAAACGCACTCGCAGGTCTCGCAGACAGGAGACAGGAGAAATGAGGAAGGATATTAAAGTCCTATTGGTTGCAAAACAATCTGAGTAATTTGGCTCCGATAAACACCAAGTGAAGTCAAATCTTTCCCAAAAGGAACCGTTTTACTTTTTTAGCTCATGGAGTCCTTTTCAATGTGCTTCAGAGGAGTTGGCTCAAAATGTAATCTCACTGCTCATGGATTCTGGATCTGCCACTTTCAATTAGATCTGGGGGGCGGGGCAGAGGATGGGGCTACATCGGGCAGCTAACTTTTGCCTCTGTTAGATACAGTGGCAGGGCAGGCCAAACAGCGTCTCTCTAGAAGGAAACAACTAAATAAATAATATTTTTAAGCATAATTTTTCCTTCCAGTCCAGAACGCATCCCAGATGTATACCTCAGTTTCTTTGAGAGGACCATGAATTAGAAATGATCCAAGAAAATAATTATTTTTAAATCAAGGAATGTCTTCGCTATTTATTTACTAATAAAATAACCTTTTACCATGTTATCATTTTCTGATAAACTGATCTAGCAAGAGAAATGTTTTATTTTAATACCATAAAAACTGGCTTTTAAAAAAGCGAACCCCATATCTTTCGAGCGATTTTCAAAAGTAGTCTAAAAAGAGAAAAATGTTTCTACATTACTTTTCAGGGGGCAGAGAATTGTTGTATCCACCAAACTTTAGGGTTCTTACTGCCCCAAAGTGTTCCTTCAGCTTTTAAAAATAAAGCATATTACAATTTTGTGATGTTCCAAGATGCTGAAAATTTAAAGTCAGGGCTTTTAATTTTTGATTTTGTTGCTCTTCATAAAATTACTTGTAAAAAATAAAAATGATAAAGACTAAAATTATTTTTTTCTTTTGGGATACAATAAAAATATCAGCTTAATTCGTTTTCAGTCCACATAAAAATAAACTGTATAAAACCATTGTCTGGGAGGTGGTCCTGGAAAGAGGTAAGAAATATTTTCAAAAGAGCTGATTTGATAGCCCAATTTACATTGGTGTGAACAGGGTTTATCAGGGAACTTCCCTATGAGCCCAGGGAATGTCATTTCTCTTATAAAACTGACAGCTAAACAAAGAAAATACTACAATCAAAAATTTTTTTCTTTAATTTTAGATGAAATTCAAATACGGGGAAGTAAGAAAGGCATGAGGGCAAACACAACAAAATTTTAAATAAACTGACAAATTCCACATCTGTATTTGGAGAGGACAAGTTGTTTACAATTTCATTTCCAAGATTCAAAACACCTCAAGCCAACCAGGTAAAGGTAAAGCAAGGACTGTGCCATCTCTATGGGTGGTTTATGGGCAAAGCATCAAATCTGGAATTGTCACTACTGTCTTAGTTTTCTCTCAGTACATTTCAAGTGAATTTCCTTTATTTGAATTCCTTGGCAATGAGCATCAATACTTTCATAATGGCAGCTTTACTGTTCAGTCCTGCAGGTTATAAGTAAAAACAAAACAATAAGAATGAATAAAGGAAGAAGAAAATAACCACAACGTAGTCTTTAATATGGACTGTTGAGCATTTTTATTGTGTAATAAAATGAGTACCTCCACCTCCTTCAAAATAGCTTTTCCTCAAAATTATAACTGCTTTGTTTTATTGAATTGCTGAAATTTAATGGTTTAATGAGTGAAGGCATGAAGGAAAGGCTGTAAAAATGTGAATAATGGTGCAGCAGAGCCGTGCTGAATCTGGAACCCGCCTCCTTGTACAACTCTTGTTAAACACAGCATGATATGTATCTGTCATCGATTTAATATGTCTTAATTCAAATATAGTTCCCTGATCAATTTCTTTTTATGGAAGCCTTAAAAAAGAAAAGACTTTCTTAGGAAATAATAGAGATTTGGGTGGCGATTGGAAAGAGGGATATTTACACAGTGCATTTAATGAATATTTGCAAATTTATGACCAAACCCAGACCCTAAAAAGATAATTGACTCAGGTAAATCGACTTGAAATGCTAATTCTTAAAAGGAAGAACTGGGAACAAAATTCAGTCAACACCAATAAGGCGCCAATAAACCCCCGGCCAATTAAACCTGAGAATAGGCCTAGCTAGATGGTCCTCAGGAAGGCTTCCAGTGAATTTCCGGGATTGTCTTTCTTTATAAAAGAGCTTTTTATTTTGTAGACGCGCTTTTTGTTATTATGATGACCCGCCTAACCCCAGGTGCGCTGTTTCTTTTTCAAGCCATTTGAGAGCCAAATCAAACCCCTTTAACATCCCGAGTTTCTAAGGTCCCAGTAACTGTGTCATACTTCCTAAATAGACACCAACCATTTCCAGGGCGTTGAAGAAAATAATACTAGTTAAAAGGGGTGGTGGGTTATAGAAGTCGTTATGCCAGTTCTCCTGTGGATTTAGCCCAATATTTCCGCAGTGGTGCTGGTAGTCAGGGCCTATCCTCAAAACGCATGCCCTTGTCTGTGCTTTTGCAGCGGAGGTTCTTGTGTGGGGGCAGCAACGCGGCAAAACGTGGAAATGCCCTTTCTGGGGTCAACAGGTGCTCTTGGGGGAGGATAGATTTCCAGACTTCACTGTTGCACCCGGAACCCCAAACAAAGGCGCAAGGAGGCTCAGAGGCAACAGTAAACCACCGAGCTGGCTCTGAACCACGCGGCGCTCAGCCGCCTAGAGGCAAGAGGACCGGGTCTCTGGGGATGCCCAGACTGGCGCTAACGGCTTCCCGCTGCGCGAAGTGGCTCTGCGGCTCCCCGGTGCCCTCCGTTCGTCACTGAACACAGCCAAGTCTCCTTGCGTTGGGTGTGGGCAATTAATAAACTCTAAGGAAAGCGAATTGGACATTTCCTAGCTTTTGAGCCTTTGTTTGATTATTTCTGCAGGTGGGGGAGGGGTTAAACGGGGACGTGGGGTGGACAAGAAAGGAGCAGGGGGACCCACCTAGCTGCCTTTTATTGCCCTTGCAATTGCTTTACTGCTCGTCGGTCCCGAGTGGTTTCCGCGAGAGCAGCCCCCTTACAGAAGGGCTGGGTGCCCAGCGAATTTGGAGTGCCTGGTGCCATTTGGGTCGCGCCAGAGGCGGGTTCAAGGGCGAACCACGGTATTCCGACTTACCCCAGGGATTAAAAGACTTTGAAGCGCAGCCGAAGGGCGGCAGTGGGTGCCCAACTGGGAGGAGGAGAGTTACTAGCAGACATTGAGAAAACGGGGGATACACTTGAGAAGTCTTTAAGCCGAGGTGAAGTGGGCAAAGAGGCCCACAAAGCTGCATTTTATTGAGCTTTGTCGGCCGGAAGTGATAAAGACTTTGGGTTCAAGGGCTTTTCCCAAATCAGGCTCGCTAGGCATCAAGGATGTGAAGTTCCCGCTTCCTGCCCCACCTGCACTCAGCAGGGACCAAATCTCTACCCTCCCGCCCTCACCACTAACGTTCTGATTCGGTGGGAACCGAGACCCGGCCAGCGGGCTTGAGTGCTCTGAAGCGCCGCCGCCCTCTGAGCGCCTCTGAGTGTTGCCTCTCTTTTCCTCCTTTCTGAGCTCGCGCTGAATCCTCAGGCTTCACGGATACTTGTGGAGCTAAGAATGACAAACAAACAAACAAAAAACACCGTGTTTTTTTGCTAAAGTTTATGATCCCTATCACTTTTACATGGACTTAACGAGGAATTTTTTATTTTATTTTATTTTTTTAAGCAGAAGATTGGAACTGTGTAGCTGTGATTGAAATGTTGGGTTCCTTGGGTTTGGGATTTGTTCGTTTGTATTGGATAGTAACGAATTGGGCACACCCCAAGTCCACCTACTTTAGTGGTTAAAGGCCCTTGAAAATTATGGCTTTTTACTTCCCCACTATTAAAAAAGTAAACGGAGTAAAATTGGCCTGTCGTCAAATATTCTCATTTGGTTATCAATCATTTTTATCCTCAGAGATGGGGGTAGTTGGAGAATGGCCTTTGACCCACATTTACCATTAGGATAGGTAAATCTTGGGAAATGCCTAATTGTTGTGTTTTAAAATATGCTTATAAGGTCAAAACAGGAACCACAAAACTCTTGTATGTGTTCACGGTTCATATAACCCACTCAATATTATTTATATTGGCTTAGAAATATGTTCCTCTCCTCTTTATTCTTTATTCTAAGAGATGTTTTTGGATGGGGGATAAAAGAGGAGGAGAGGTGATGTGGTGTTCTGTTTTGTTTTTTAATCTAAAATTTTGTGGGTAGTTTCCCCACACACACACTTCACACCCTTTCCAATATCTATACTTCAATATTTGAGGAAGCTGTTGAGATAAATCAAATAGTGACATGTTGACGGATTTACTTGTGTAAGCAATATGGTTGACATATGGCATTGTTATTTATGAATGACAGCATAAATTGTATTACAAAGTCTATCGCAATGATACTGCAGTTTATTGGAAAGCTGCTTGCCTGTCACTGGTATTCAACCTCCCTGGATGTAGTTTGCCTAGGAGCCCAAAGGATAACGGTCCTCAAAATAATTAAACACATTCATGTAAGCTAATGCCTTCTGTTTTTAGGTTTGTTTTTGTTTTCT